ATGATGTTTCTCAATTTAAAAGATAATTTTGCAAGTCAAAAAAAAGAAAATGTGACGTAAAACTGTGAAGTAACACTTTATTTTGTGTGAAACCGCTTAAAAGAGGTGAACATCACTCCAAGTCTGGGCATGCTGAGAGCCGTACATACACACAAGGGGAGTTAGTCGGTTCAGTAAGAGCCAGCATGCGGTACCGGGATTCTGGGATTTGTAGTCTTTCTAGTCGCGTATTTTTCATAGTCTTAAATTTCAACAGTTTTACGACAAACTGTGACTTTTTTGACATGGAAAAGATTTTTTAAGATTGACAAACATCATATGTGTAATTCGTGGCACAATTCAAACGGGATCGAAAGATACGTTTTCTCTCCCCATTGACTTCAATACATAGTTTTTCCGAAATAAAGTCCCATGGGTCGGAGGTAGATGGGCGGGACTTCGCCTCTCTATTGTCTTTTAGTTTTAAAATCTAACGTAATGTACTAACCAGGATCTTTTGTGTTTCTGCAGCCTGAGTTTTACCAAGTGTGCCACACCAAGAAAGACTACGAGGAGATCGGCCCGTCTATCTGCCGCCACAACCCCGTGTTCGGAGTCATGTCTTAGGAGGAGGAGGAGGAGGAGGAGGAGGAAGAAGAGGGGGGGAGGGGGAGTGCATTCAGCGGAGACCGAGGAGTAACGGAAGCTCTGCGAGACCTCACATGTTGTGGAAGTCCCATGAGCCTTTGCACGGATGCTCCGACAGACCTGTTCATTCGGATAAAGCCACAGTGGACCAAACTAAAATGGAGGCAAGATCCTCACAAATCCGAGGAAAAGTGGAGACTCAGCCCAAAGGATCCTCTTAAAAAAATGTTTACTGCAAGTAGATTAATAATAGGTGATAAATCTTTCATTTCTGCGTGCCTGGTATATGTACTTATAATATCCTCACAGGGTTGTAATATGTAATTAATCAACATGAGTCCTGCACTTCTGTGGGTTCTTGCTCTGTGTTATATACTCTAAGGGTTTGTTTGAAAAAGCAGCCCATGCTTAGGTAGTTCATTTTCCACAAATATCATTGAATAAAACAGCTTTTTGATCATGAAGGCATAAAATAAGTGCAAACACAACAAACAATCACCGGACTTTCTCACCATTCCTGATGTTTTTTCCTTTTATGTGTCTGTTTTTTTTTTTTTTATGTCCCTCAGTACCTGGAAAATTAGAATCTAGATTATTAAAGAAAAAATCAGGCATTTCAAAAAATATTAATCGGTTCAAATAATTTCTACCGGGTTACACTGATGTCGTCTTTTCACCTGCAGCATTGTGACATATAGTCGCCAATTTATTTTTACCTTTTTTTATTTGTATTACTCATCTCTCGACCAACCTGTCTTGGAACAAAAAAGTTGTATTAATATATGAACATGCAGTTTGAGTGACTGTTGTTGGACCATCACTGTTGCCTAGATCTCAGTTATACTGGATAGCCTTGTACTGTACCAAATCTGGATTTCAATGCTGGCATAACAATAAATGCCAAGGAGATATTTCTACAGTTGTGATTTCTGATTTTATTTTATGAATTGTATCTTTGAGGAAACATCATTGCCTCTATTCTTAGCACAGCTATATCTGTATGAGACACTGTAGCTACATCCATTCAAACTGACCAACGCATGAGGCATAAGTTAGTTTTTCACATGCATCTGATTGGTCAGGAGGAGCCATGTCCAGAGGCATGTCATGGTGGTCCATTTTTATTTGCAGCAGGAGAGTAATGGACACATTGCTTTTGATGGCATTTAGTAAGGAAGTGTCTATTCTATTTGAAAATGAAAGAAGATGTGATATGCAGATAGACTCCTTTGAAACTAAAGTGTGGATCGCCTATCTGTTATTCTGCCTGAAAAGACACCTGCTCAGGTTAAAGCTGGGTTGGAGCTTTGATAGAAGCTTACTAATTCACATCGACCAATAAGAATGCCTCTGGACATGGTTCCTTCGGATAAAGCCACAGTGGACCAAACTAAAATGGAGGCAAGATCCTCACAAATCTGAGGAAAAGTGACTAATTGAATTAGTCCCGCCCCCTCGGTAAAGGTGTTATTAGTCCCGCTTTAACAGGTTTTTTTTTTACAAGAGGGAATCTTTAAATCCTCTTCAACCCACTCCACTTTGGAAATGCTAATCGTTACTCATGTTCAGCTACAGATTAAGTCTGATTTAAAACTTGATTATATTTCACATCATTAATCCAAATCTGTAAAGTAACTACAGGGATTAAATGTAGTGGAGTAAAAGTACACCATTTACCTCAGAATTGTAGTGGAGTAGAAGTACAAAGTAGCATAAAATGGAAATACTCAAGTAAATGTACTTAGTTACTTCCCACATCTTACCTACAAACTGCCTCCAGGTGCTTCTAATTGTGGAAACTCAATCAGCATGGCGGAAGTAAAGGTTAAAATCTTAATCACAGTCTTAACATTTCAAAAATAAAAGCATGCAACAGGAAGTAAAACCAGTTCAAATTAACTCAATGCATAATTTCAAAATAACAGCACAAAATAAAATCTCAGTAAAAAGTATAAAACCCACAAATAAAAACCGCGCAATACAAGCTAATACTAATACTATTAATAATAAAAAAAATACTTCACCATGTGACAAATGCACCGTGACGCGTTTTGCCACCCGGAACTTAAGCGGAGAACGAAACAGTTCCTACCCGGACCTATAAATTGACGCACATTTAAACATGGCGGCTAACATAGAGAAATTTTTTCAGGATTTTATACTGAATAAAATCAGAGAGATTGAAGACCAGAATGAAGACAAAACGTATGTGCATGCTGAGTTATGGTTGTGTTTTGGTAACGGTTGAATAACATCCTGTAGCTGCTGTACAGCGCTAAGCTAACATGCTACCGTTACAGCGGCCGGCTCCTGCTCTAGTTACAGCATAAACAATGCACAGGAGCTAATGCTATGCTAATTAGACACCTATGTGAGGTTACTCAAGGAAAACAACAAAAGTATATGTATCTAAATATACTTAAAGTTCCAAACGTAGAGTAGTCATTGTGCAGGTTGGTCAGAATATTATATATGACATGTTTTATAATTAATGATCATTCAAGTTTTATCAAAGGTGCTGCTAGTTTTAATGACTTTGTAAACTGCAGGGTAGCTTGTGTATTCTGTAATAGCAACACATTGAATTACTCTATTAGCTGTACTTAGCTACTTTACACCACTGGATTCTGTGTCAACAAGCTTACTTACAAAGTGGATGATTGGCTGTCAACATGCTTCCTTAGAGAGGAAGACATGCATAACTTCATCTATTCGTGTAAATATATACTTTTTAAAACTCCAGGCATTTGACTTTCTGAGCAGTTAGCCCATATGCTAAAGCTGTTGTATTATGATAAACCCAATCTTGTCAGATAGTGTCTAATCTGGGATTAAGTCATAACATCTATTAAGTAAACTCTTCTTGAGACAGGCCTCTTAAGTCACTATTACATATCCTGTTATTGGACATTTAAAAAGAATGCTGTGTTGGATAGTGTTAACAGATGCAACTAAATCATATCTTTTTTCTGTGTGTCCATTAGTTCCCCTGAAGGAGTGGGAGATGGCACTGAACAGTTCGGAGCAGAACAAGAGTCTTCAGAGAGAGACAAACAGGACAATTTAAAGTGCAGCGGCTCACCAAAGAAACACAAGAAGCACAAAAAACACAAAAGTAAGAAGAAGAGGAAGTACCGTGAGAAGGAGGAGAGCAGCTCCGAGTCCGGGCCGGAGGAGGACGGAGGAACCAAACTCCAGCCAAGGTCAGAAGAAACTTTTTTCATGACACTTCCATGAATTCACCTTTTATAGAAAGTAAGCCCACCTCTGATGGCTGATTAATAGTCATTACTGTCACTAGTAGGGATGGGTATCGTTAAGGTTTTAACGGTACTACTCGCTTTTATCGATACCGCTTATCGGTCCGGTCTTTTAACGGTACTCTTATCGGTTCTTTTGGGGGAAAAAAGGTAAACTCACTAAACAAATTGTGAACAAAACTAACATTGCTTTTTATTTAAACTAAATACATAATATTTCACATCGAAAGAAACAACAATGTTTTAACAAATCGTATTAAATAATGTGATGAAAGAACTGTAAACAGAATAGCTGAAACTTTAACAAACTAAATAACTCAGTTACCTCTAATCATTAACCCATGTTTGTATCATTGAGTTAACTCTGTGTGTTGCTGCTAGCATACATAACACCTGACGTGGAAACGTTACTCGTGGATGGGGCTACAGAGCTGCTAGAAAGGTGTGCCTTGCATTCCTCCGTCTGGATGTGGAGCACTTTTGCTAAATGTTTAGACAAATTGCTCGTGTTACCGCCCTTACATGCTAAACACTTATTGCACTTTTGGTAACGAGCATTGTCCACATCGAGACGGGTAAAGTTAAACCACACCTCGGAGCGCGTTCTCTCCACCATCTCCTCCGTGTGTGTGTTGCTGCATGTAGCAGCTGTGTGTGTGTAAACTGCCCCGCCCCCTCGCACACACACAGGACAGGAGAGAGATCTCTCGTCTGGATTGGAAAGATCGAAAATACAACAAATAATTATAGACGCATTTTGCAGTCTTTTTGCGTATTAGAAACAGAGTTGGCGACACTAAAACTGCAATATAATGTTTGTGTAGCAATAATACACATTACATATGTTTCACATGTCTCCAGTACCGATAAAAAGACCGCTAACGTCGGAGCTTAATGGTATCACAGACTTTAATAATTCAGCCCCGGGGCCCGTTTAATAGCGGGGCTCGGTACCCATCCCTACTCACTAGATAAGAGCACTAAAACCTGTGCAAGTGAACACAAACGACAGTTTTTTAAACAACACACAGCTGATGTTATTTCTAATCACAAAGTTATTCTAACATAGTGTAGTGGTGCTAACCTGTAAACCATACTTTAGTTATAAGAGATAAGAAATTGTTGTGCCAGAGTTACAAAAATGCAATATACACAGCAGCATAATAATAAAACTGTACACTGACTAAAAAGAGCGATTAAATAACTACAGGAAACTACAGGTCAAACAATTCATGTAAAAAACCGTTCAGTGATGAGCAGTATTGAGTAGTGCAAAACAACCTAGTGGCAGATACGTAATTGCAACGTTATGTATACTTAATTTTTTATTTAAGTTTATAATTCATACTGTGATAGTGCGTATCGTACTACAAATGTTAAAGTCATGTTCGATCTACGGTAGTTACTCTCTGGGATGTTATCTGCGACTGGACCTGACCCTTTTTTTAAATGTTCTTAACCCAGGGTTGTATCTTTGTTTCGCAGAAAAGGGACGCCAACAGAGGCAGACAAGGAGCAAGGTAAGTCTCTAATCATTCAAATCATTCATATAAACATGTGTTGATCAGCTGTGCTCACCACTCTATATTTTACATATCAAGTGTCACATTTCCTTTCCATGGAGAATTTGATACAGTGTTGATATGTTCGATTAGTTATCATGTTATGTGTCTTATCAAACCAACCACTTCTTAAAGGGATAGTTTGGAAGTGGTGCTGTATGAGGTGCCTATCAAAGTCAGTGTGTGTGGGGGGGTCAGCACCCCCCCCATATGTTGCAGAATCAGCACAGAGGTTAAGCAATGCACTGCTTTGGAGGTGGGGAGCAATAAAATGTATTTAAGCCAAATGAAAGGACGACAAAAATAATGAATATTAGTTCAAGTGTACACTATTTTTAGCACGGTACGCCAAACAGCCCTTTCCGCTGCCTCCATCAATCAGTCTGACTTTGGTGAATCCATCTAACATTTCATAAACTACGGTCACACAAATAACACAAACAGACAACACATGTAGGCGTCAGAACTCCTGTGTTCTGTGAATTATAATAGAGTTCATTTCAAAAGGTGCGTGTTGGATATAAAGGGCACATTTGCTAAATATAACGTACACTACAACTGATTAGCTTTTACCTTAGAGGAGCTCAAAATGTCTTGCCGCTGCCCCCGTCCATAGTAAGTGTACAGTGCTTTGCTTCTGGGCAGTAACTGCATTGACTATGCATAAGTACCTCACCTCCTTATTCAAACGGTCCCTTTAAGACACACACACAGTCATTCCAGTCGTACGAAACATGCTGTACTGGCACAGAGCTGCTGCACTGTGTGTCCAGGTGAGGAAGACCAGAACAAGTCCAGAGGCCACAAGCGGCACTCATCGGGGAAGAAGAAGAAGAAAAAAAAGAAAAAGAAAAAAAAGAAGAGAAGCAGGAAAGATGACGACAACTCCTCAGATTCAGAAATGGTGTCCAAGCAGAGGGAAGGGGGTCAAAGCGTGTCACCAAGGCGACGAGTGGAGCTGCCTGATATTATTCCTAAACAGGTAAACATGTTGATATCACATACAGACTTCATCAATTAGGGTTTAAAACTTTAAACATAAGTATAAGAGCTTTGTGTAATTGGACCGCTAGCTTAAAAATCTTTTGAATTTGGAAGGATTCACACATGTCTGGTGCCTGATTAAAGATGTCACAAAGTAAATTTAAAGAATTCTGGGGGGAAAAAACTACTTTTCTTTAAGGGTACACTTTTGTTCTGGATAATAGCCAGCCAGTAGCTATAATGCTGATGTTAAGACTCAAACCAAGTGTTATATATGGACTTGTTGGTGGAACGAGTGTGTGACAAACGTCTCCCTTCTTTACAGGACAGTTCCAAAAAAGCACTAGGAGGTCAGGAGAGCCTCGGCAGGAGGAGTTCTCGTTCCCGGTCACGCTCACATTCCCGTTCACATTCCCGTTCCGTGAGGAGGAACTTCCGCTCCAGACACCACCGGCCCAGATCCAGGACCAGTCCACACCGCCACAGGACCCGGTCCAGGTACGGATGACCTAACCTTTCATCTTCCTGCCATGTTGTCTAATGTCATTTCTTTATTTTCCTCCAAGTCGTTACACCATGTGTTGATCTCAGCTTGCCAAACGTTATAGAATATTTAAGATTCATTTTTTTCACCACCGTTGTGTTATGTTATGCGTTATGTAACCGGTTAAAACTCCAAGTGGCGATGAGGTCTTAAAATGTATGAAAAGGGTCTTAAAAAAGGTCTTAAAAGGAATTACATTTGACTTCAGGATTCCTGCATATACCCTGTTATATGAATAGAACAATAATGTCATTGTTAGCTCATGAATGTTTCCATGCTGAACAACGGCAACATGACAACGTTTTCATTGGTCCCTCTTCTTTAGAGAAGACCAGGAAATGATGGATACACGGATCGTGTTCAAATCAATAGGCACGCAATGACTCTAAATAATAATGATCACGCCACCAAACACACATTCAGACTAAAGGAACCAGCCTGTTTGGAAAATGAGAGAAGTAGAAAGTACAGGTATTTGTGTTCAACATGTAAGAAGTAGAAAGTACAGGTATTTGTGTTCAACATGTGAGAAGTAGAAAGTACAGGTATTTGTGTTCAACATGTGAGAAGTAGAAAGTACAGGTATTTGTGTTCAACATGTAAGAAGTAGAAAGTACAGGTATTTGTGTTCAACATGTGAGAAGTAGAAAGTACAGGTATTTGTGTTCAACATGTAAGAAGTAGAAAGTACAGGGATTTGGGTTC